TTTGGGGCTAGTAGTGGGGGGGCAAGGCTTGCACTTTGGGGTTTTGGGGGTGGGGCTAATATTGGGAGATGGTTTGGGGGTGTGTGGTGGGTTTCTGGAAACAGACTGGCACTGGAGTCTGGCAGGAGGGGACTCTGAGGGCAAGAGGCTGGCACTGGGGGTTTGGGTGCATGGGCCTCTGTAGTTTAGTGACTGGTGCTGTCTAGGGGTTAGGGCTAGCACTGGGAGACTTTGGAGGCTGGGGCTTTGGTGGACTGAGAACATTTTATTTGCATATTTACATATTCTTTTTTTCCACGTGTGACACTGCCGCTTTGAAATGCTGCAGCCAATTGGGGTGTCCCCAGGCTGCATGCAGCTTTTCAAAGCGGCAGCGCTGCATGGAGCCTGGGGTCTGGCCCCAGGCTTCAAGTGGCCCTGCCACTTTGAAGTACCCCCTCTTTTCCCCGCCACCCTTGCTGCCTCTACCTAATAGAGGCAGCAAGGGGGGAAAAGCGACTAGTTGACTATCCTGTCGACTATCCGATAAGCATTTGCTTAATTGATAGTCGACTAGTTCTTCGCATCCCCAGTTCAAAAGTGCTCTTATATCCTTGATGCTCCCACGTACGTCTCTGACACATGCAAAGCTACCTCACTTCCGCAGCAAGCAGTTTAAGTCTGTTCAGCTCACTACACTAGTTCATGCTTTTGGCTTGCATATAGCAATAATTCATTGTATTCTCCCCTTTGAGACCACTTGCATTCTGCACTGGCTGTAACTGGCAGAGTCAGTTGCTTGGAACATATTAGACCAGTAGTTCTTGCTTTCTGGTCACTTCCAGGTACAATTACATTTTTAGTCTGAAGTCCTGTATAGGTCGGGTCCTGGCTCTTTGAGAGACCTGCCTCTCTGTTTGACCTCAGCTGTTAAGAATATCAAAGTATCTCAAATTAGTAGTCCCTATATTTACGTAACTGATTTGGGGGATGGTGGAATGACAGCATACTTGTTGAAAGGCCCTAGAAATTGTTCCTAGTCTGGAAATTGCTTCTTTGACCTCTTATAGTACAGTAAAGCTTTCTCTGGCTTGTGGGAAGCAGGGTTGTGTGTAACTCTGTGGGTACATCCCCTGTCTGAGCTGGGCTTGTAACTCCTAGCTCATGACATAGCCACAGTAACTGTAGTTGAGCTAGTGTGCTAAAATTGGAGCATAGCAGCAGCAGGAGGTACCAGCTGCCCCGAATGCATGCCTAGTCTCTTGGACAGACCTATACTTGGGGTGGGCAGCCCTTTGCACTGCTGTGGATTTAGCTTGTTCAGTGCTAGCATGGATAAGCAGGCCCCTAGCTATTCCCTTATTTGAGTCTGCATGGAGTCTTGCCTGTCCCTACTGGAGACAGTCTATTTAAGTCATTTGTTAAACTTGATTATGATGAAAGTAAAGTAAAAATGTTCCTGTTGCTAATTACCCTCTGTTTACACTAGCATTTCTGTCAACCTGGACAGTGGAAACTAATGATGGCACTAATTTTTATCAGTTGCATCTACTTCCAGGTTCCAAATGGTGCATTATTGAAAACCCAAACATTGCAGCATTACTTTAAACGAGGGAGTTTAGTTCTTAAACACTTGGAATGCTCCATGTGCTCTGTTTCATAAAAATTAAATACAGGGCCAATCGAAGTTTATGAAATATTACATATGTACCCAGTGCCATAGTACCAGTCTTTATTAATATGCACAACCCGCTGTCCTAACTTGCATTGGAACCTGGGGCCTTGTCAGCCGACGGTCAGGGCAGTAAGTGAGTGTGTGTGTACTATACACCTGAGACTTCAACTGCTGAGACCGGGGTCCCTTGCAGTGGGCAACCTGGAAGAGGTTGAAGGGCTCCCCAATAAGTGTACAGAGAGAGCTTATTACACTTCAGATTTCAGCTGCTAGAATTCATAATTCCTTCGCAGCGGGCAGCCTCGGGGAGGCTGAGAAGCGCCCCAATGGATTTTGCCACCTGGGTGTGACACAAATCCAAACGCCCAAGCTCTCCCTATATCTGTCCCTTTATGACCGGCTGAAGTTCTTTTAAATTGTGCTTGGTTCTATTACAGCAACTGAAGGAGTCAGGTTAAAACTTAAACAGTTACAGGTTTATTTGAGGAAGCTTATAAATCATATGGTTGCAATGGCTATTGTTCTATTTCTTAACTGCTAGCAAAATATAGATCTTAAAAATGGTTACAAAGAAGATAAAGATAGAAAAATAGAAATAATGGTACCAAGTAACAGCTTACTCTTTCTATGTGTACACTTAAGACAGAGGACCACATCCAGGTACAATTTTTACCCCCTTCTGTGCCTCTCGACTCCAGCATGTCAGGCCAGGGCCGGTCCCTCAATTCCTAGGAAAGACGAAAATACGAGGTGGGCGTCCCCATAGAACCTCGGGAGGTCAAACACCTAACCCGACCAGCAGGTAGAGGGTAGAATGACACTCAAAGTGAGTGTGTGCTGGACCCATCTTTTATACTCATGGGGCCACGTATTTGTCTTTCTTATCTGTCATGCCAAATGGGGCTGGTCTGTCTTTTGTGAGACCAGTTCTTACAAGGGAGTTATGAACTTAATTTACACTTGTAAGAGAGATAACTAAATTGGAATTACTGGGGATTCTTTTCTCAGTGGGAAATTCCTCTTCCAGGGACTGTGTGTGTGTTCGAATCAACAGGGGTGCCAGCCGGGGC